AAAAGAAAAGCCACAATAGGGGAAAAACCTGTACACCAATACGGCTACTACCCGAAATTAGATTAAGACAAGAATAAAAGGGAATCCAATTGTTTCAAACCCCCAAAAAACCGAAAACAACCTTGAACTTTACTGCTCCATACTGTCCTCCTGTTTGCTCGCGGCTCTTGGTGCAGGTACTGTTTTTCTCAACATAGATGTTCCATGAAAGATCATCACCGAGAAGTCTTTTCTGTAATCATTCACCTAATAACACCCACAAAAACAGTGTGCATATCAGAGATGTGATTTACTGAGCGTTATAAGTTTATTATTATAGATACATACCTCCTCTTGGGTCATCTTGGTAAATCCAAATTTGTCGGTCCATATGGATTTCGCCTCATCTGCTGCTGGTAGCACGAGATGTTTCACGTTAAGGAACCCGAGTAGCCTCTGGATGCAAGCAAATAGGCATTGAAAGTAACCCTACAGCAAAAAAAATGAACATGAACTCTCAGAAAAGAAGCATTCACAAGCATTTCGTCTCTCATATAAATCAGATCATAATACGTGGTATGTCAGGTAAAACAAGGCACAAGAATTCCTTCTGCAATTGATATGCTACACATTGTTCCACTCTTAAGCCATTCTGAAATAAATAAATGTGTAATTTGCAGTGACTGTAAGAGGGGGTTGGTTCTTGACCATGCTAATAGTGATAGGCACTTGTCGCAAAGAAGAGAATTAAACGTAAGGTTCCAAATCAAAACTAACTACCTTCCCTTGACAATCTTTGCTGGTAGCAACCAGAGGGAGTTCCGCAAGTTCTGACCCAAAGATCCTAAAGATTCCCACTGAAACAATCACTTCACTGCACAAGCGAGAAAACCAAAAACAAATTTTTAAAGATGAAACAGGCATCAGAAAAATAGACTAGAATGGAAAGAGCAAGAATCTTACTCCACAGTCAACATAGTGCAGTACATGCCACTGAAATCTTGGCCCTTTGCTTGCCTCCTGTTCAACAACCAAATTGATTTAATCAGCTAATGGGTTTCATGAGCATGCACTGAAAATACAGCAGTTGCACTTACCCGTACACCATGGCTGGTATGAGATCTCCCCTAGTTCCAGATTCACTGATAGGATCAAACCGCTCCTAAAGCATACCACGGTTACATGGGACAAACAGAGTTAAGACTTCATTAAGTAGACAAGGGATAAACAGCACCAAGAACGGAAGATTTTCAACTGTGGTCTGTAATTACATGAAGGATAGAAACTGCCTTTGTAAGTAGAATTTTGGTATCTTCCGAAGAGGCCAACTTCCCACTAAGGACCCTCCATCTTATGTCTGGAGTGGTGTTGTCAACTGGACAGCTTTCTTCATCAGGGTTTTGCTTCTTCTTTAAAAAATTCAGAAGAAGGTTGCTACTAAGTTTCTCTTCTCCATGAACTATCAGACTGCCCAACGAAGTATTGATCATTTTGCAATCAAGGGAACAGAACCATTGTTCTTCAGGTAGCTCCTGTTAAGACGAGCAAGGACGAAAGACAAAGGATACTGAGTTTCGCCCAAGATAAAATAAAGAGAGAATGAAAGAGCCAGGTAGAGCACCTTGAGATCAGCAATGTTATGTTCTTTCAAACAGCCAACATGGAATTCCTTTTCACACTGAAGAGAAAGCATAGAAACCGAAAAATGGTGAAAATCAGATGCAGATTATAGATGCACAAGCTCTAATACAGCAACGACCAACAAGATACCTGGTCACAGATAATCACAGTGCGAGAATTAAAGCCCATCCTGCTGAAACTATGACCTCTGCAACAACAGGGAATATTAAGTAGGGGTCAAGCGCAGAAGAATATGGTGTCAATTTGGAGAAAAGTAGCTAATAAACATATTTTAGTTCCTTTAAGAAGAGAAAAAAAAGCAAGCCATATGAATAAGAAACATGAAAAAAAAAAGAAAAAAAAAACCAAAAAGAAACATTAACCAAGTAAGACCTCACTACTACAACATTACAATCTTCTACAAGGTTGTTACAGAAAATTAGGTGATTCATTAATGTGACACCAGGACTATTGAAATAATAGAGAAGCTTGATATTAACCTGCATAATACGCATACACTTGGGAGCTCACTTGCAAGGGAGCTGACAATTCGAATGCATCTTTTGGTTATCTGATCAATTGCATCGACTCCATGAACTCTCCCAGCTGCAATGGCGTTGAGATTACTATCCACAAACTTCTCTCTCTCAACCATATTCACACAGTATTTGCAGGACCACCTCTCACTCGGAGGGCTTGGTAGAGAAGCACATTCTAGATAAAATCAAAACAAAACAGAAATGTAAGCTCAATCAAACTGATCCTCCAACAACTTCTTTAAAGTAGCAATAGATTGATTCCAACAAAGAAATATGGAAAATAGCAAAAATCAAACCTATATGATATGATCTTGGGCAGGTATCACAGCACAAGAGGTCACCCCCATCCTTACAGATACTGCAAAGGTCATCATTTTCTTGGATAGAAAACCTCTGGTCCATTGATAGTGCTACTGATAGTTCATGGAGAGATACCCCATTGGTTGTATAAATGTGCTGAAACCTGAACATCGATAGAAGATGATCTAGTTATTTCAACAGTTTTTCAGCGAATCATACAATCAATGATCTTAAGGATCCACGCCGTTCACTACTAATTAGTCTATATTTAGTTTATCAAACTACCCAAGGTATAATGGGTAAACGAGCCTATGCTCTTCGTGTATACATGTGGGGGGAAAAGGAAGAATAGTTCTGGTTTTCGATTTTCAAGGAGTGTGGAAGTAGCTTCATTATCAGAATCTTCAGTCTCTCGTATTTCCACCAAATAATTATATAAAGTGGCTCTAGTTTGATTAACAGTAGAAAAAAACCACCATGGAGAAAAAACAAAGAAGTAGATGAGGTAGCAACCCGTAACTACTACAGCATAAATATGGAAATAGGTGAAGGAACTTACGGCTTCCGACGACTTGCACAGCCAGCATGGGCCTCAAACGATGATGGACTGACCTGGTCCCATAAACGATTTAAAGGCTGATTCAGAGCCCTATACTTAATGCCAGTACAGATACTTTGACGTTAAAGAGAGCTTACCACTTTGTTGCAGCAAGAACAATGTATCCCAAATCCCTTCTTATAGCCTACAAGCATTTTCTGCACAATGACGAAATGGTTGGAGTAGACAGTTACAAGGACAGGCTGGAAAAAAAAAAAATTCCTGCAGATCTAACCTTTCCAGCAACAAAATAACCCACTTCGGTTCCATCTGGCAGTATATCATCCTCAAAAACAAGTTTGTGCAACCGCAGATCCCTTTCAAAATGACAAAAGATAGACTGAGAACTAATGCAAGTATGACAGACAGTAACGAAAGACAAGAATCTAGCACCAGACCATAAATACATTGGATAAGTGCTGTCACATATATAACAACACTACTCACTTTCTGGTTAGTTTCCCTTGGTTGCTTTTAATTGAGCTGGATTTTGACTCGCTCCGAATAGCTCCTGGAACCACACCTGGCTCAGGTGACCTGTTGGACCCCAAAGATTAGCATAGCCGATAATCTAACGTCAC